GCTATTGAAATTAATAGCTTAGGAAATACGTTGAATGTGAGGAACGGTGGTAGAAAGTTGAGTAGGAACTGCTTATGTTTGATTGATAGATTGAAAGAGAGAGAGGATGTTGAGCCACCGTCAAAAAGGAGGCGACTCAATTAGTCTGCTCGCTGATGGTTTTAACCTCACTCACACTCATCCAACATGTTAGATTAAGCTCATCAACCAAACCAGACGTGCCAGCTTACGCAGACCCAGTCATGCCTTTCCTCAGAGGGTTAAACGTTAATGACCCTATAGCGAGAGATTAGGTCAAGTGGTTTCGTAACTTGACTTACATGCTTACAAGCTCATATCTCATTATCTCAATCATACTTGCTTACGGACTTACTCAGTCTCAGGCAGGGCTTAATTTGAGGTCATTAGGTCTTGATGATCAGAGCCTAATATTAACCTTTTGATAACTCTGATTTAGGACCGGAATTGTGAATAGGCGCTAACACACACACGCGCACACACTCGAGCAAAAGTAGCAGGACCTGTATGAAAGATAATTAGCCAAACCACTCTATACCGATCTATCTAGGTCTTCAATTTAAATTTTGCTCAATTGAGTCTATACAAGAAGTAAGATAGAGCCGGATTGTGTTCTTGCTTTAGTGTTAACGTCAGACTCTTACAAGAATGAAACCCAGCACAGATGATGGCCATCATTTGATAGACGAAAGCTCAGCATGTTTTCCTCCTAAACGAGGGAGGAAGTCTCGTGGACTGCGTCAACATGAATATCGTATACAATCCAACCGGCTGCAGTACAACGAGATTCATTCGTCCTTATCTGGTAAGATGGACCAACGAATCTCTTCTTCATGCGCTTTCATACGAAATTAAGATCCTCCTAGTTTAAAGTAGTAAGAAAAGAACGCAAAATCTGTCCTTGCCCACCAGAATTTTGTGACCACCCCTTCCTTCCGTCTTTATGCGTTTTTAGCATCACTTTGACTGTGTAATGTCGGACACACTTCTGGTTAAGTTAATGAACTTTTTGCCCGCATGTATCATGATCAGCAAAACAATTACCGTATTTTCCGGCGTATAAGACGACTTTTCACACCATAAATTTCTGCTCCTAAGTGGGGGCGGGTCGTCTTATACGCCGAGTGTAGTTTAGGGATCGCTAATTATACTATGGTCCTGAGCTCCTGTTATGCCCCTTACATCCTTACAAAATCTATATT